GCTCGGAACGCCCAACCGTGCAGGCAAAAGCTACCCCCAAGCCACATCAATGCGGTCCAGCGCAGGCAAAAAGCTACCCCAAGGCCAGATCCATTGCTTTTTCTGGGCGGTCCAGCGTGCCGTTCGCAAGGCATTCGCAGCCAACAGGCATCCCAAGGCCACATCCATGGCTTCTTATGGGCGTCCAAGCTTGCCGTTTGCCAGCCCCTAAACCCCTAAAACCATCCGAACGCTCCAAACCCCTAAAACGCTTAAAACCCTTAAAACTTTCAAAACTCTGCAAAAGCGTCTCGGGCCAGATCCATTGCTTTTTCTGGGCGGTCCAGCGTGCCGTTCGCCAGGCATTCGCCGCCAACAGGCATCCCAAGGCCACATCAATGGCTTCTTATGGGCGTCCAAGCTTGCCGTTTGCCAGCCCCTAAACCCGTAAAACCCTCCGAACGCTCCAAACCCCTAAAACCCTTAAAACCCATCAATGGCTTCTTATGGGCGTCCAGCGCAGGCAAAAGCTACCCCCAAGGCCAGATCCCGCGGTCCAGCGTGCCGTTCGCCAGGCATTCGCAGCCAACAGGCATCCCAAGGCCACATCAATGGCTTCTTGTGGGCGTCCAAGCTTGCCGTTTGCCAGCCCCTAAACCCCTAAAACCCTCCGAACGCTCCAAACCCCTAAAACGCTTAAAACCCGTAGCTTTTTCTGGGCGGTCCAGCGTGCCGTTCGCCAGGCATTCGCAGCCAACAGGCATCCCAGGGCCACATCAATGGCTTATAATGGCTTCTTATGGGCGTCCAAGCTTGCCGTTTGCCAGCCCCTAAACCCCTAAAACCATCCGAACGCTCCAAACCCCTCAAACCCTTAAAACTTTCAAAACTCTCAAAACTCTGCCAGAGCGTCTCGGAACGCCCCACCGCGCAGGCAAAAGCTACCCTCAAGCCACATCAATGCCAGCCCCGAACCGCTTAAAACGCATCATCTTTAAAACCCCTAAAACCTCTAAAATTTTAAAATTCTCAAATCTCTGCGCACGAGCTCGGAACGCCCAACCGTGCAGGCAAAAGCTACCCCCAAGCCACATCAATGCGGTCCAGCGCAGGCAAAAAGCTACCCCAAGGCCAGATCCATCGCTTCTTCTGGGCGGTCCAGCGTGCTGTTCGCCAGGCATTCGCAGCCAACAGGCATGAGGCATCAAGGCGTTCAAGCCTGCTGTTTACTACCTTTTTCCTTCACAACGCCGTCCTTGACAGAAAACTGCTTCCCACAGACCGTTCGATGGTTGATTTGCCCTGTCTCCACGTCACTGGCCACATTCCCTTTGCAAGCGGGGCAAATGTAAACATACGCTTTTTCCTTCACAGCGCCGTCCTTGACAGAAAACTTGTTCCCACACACCGTTTGATGGTCTATTTGCCCTGTCTTCACGTCACTGGCCACATTCCCTTTGCACGCGGGGCAAACATAAACATACGCTTTTTCCTTCACAACGCCATCCTTCACAAAAAACTGTATCTATCTAATTCTATCTATCTATCTCTGTATCTATCTATCTCTCTATGTATCGATCTATCTATCTATCTATCTTTCTTTCTTTCTTTCTTTCTCCCTCCCTCTCTCTCTCTCTCTCTATCGCGGCAATTGCCTTTGCCTCTACGTCCTGCAACCTTTGCTCATACTCCTGTTCCAGCTTGGTGAGCCTGTTTGACCAATCATTTTTAATTGAGTCAACCACTCCATGCATTATCTGAAGGTGCCTTTGTTCAGCTTCCCTCATGGCTTGCAATGTGTTTCCACTTGTGATCTGTGCAAGGTTGTTTTGTATGAACGTGAAGTATACAACCACGGGCTGATACATTGTGTCCTCATCCATGGGCTCAGAGTTGCCTCCGACCCTGGGATGGCGAGAGGAAGGTCAGTTGGGGTCCCCATGTCAAAGTTGTGAGGCTACGGCTGATAACCTGTAGTTTCCCAGGTCAGCCACAATTATATACAATGAGGATAGGTAAACTGCAATCTGCCGCTAAGCTCCCGGCACTTTTGAACCTGTGCTTGACAGTCGATATGATGTACATGGAACATAGGGTTTTACTGCAGGAGTTTTTACAAAAACTCTCTGTTGATGGCACTTGATGGCTGCCTTATGTGCACGGAAAAAAAGATGGGAAGATTCTGCGCAATTAATTCCCCCGTTTTTCCTCAGAAACATACTTCTTGGCATAATGAAACGAGTTCTGCTGAGGTCGGCCACATATTCTCTTTCCATATGGGAATCTGTCAGCTGTATCCGGCTCAAATGGACTTGTCTAAGTGGGCCATCATTGGGGGACCTTATCACATGACGAAGCAATTTAGCTTTACGATCCAGGTATAAGTTGCCAAATAATTGAGCTGGAAAATAAAAGCTAGATCTGCACATTTTTGCAGAACTGCTACACTATTGTCGCGTCTGTCTACAAATGTTGGTACTATTCCAAGGATTTTCCTCAGACTAGGCTAACATTGCTTGAGCCAAATGTAGCATGTTGCTTTATGTGAATGAAACCGCAGGTCAAACAGTGGGGAAAAGTATGACCTTCAACGTTTCTAGTCCTGCTATGCCTGAGAAATGTTATGTACAGGATGTTGACGTCACATTCAACTATACACAGGCCAAAAAAAAAAACACTACGACTTCTCCTAGTTTCCAAAGCTCCACCCACGGGAGGAGTGCTCATACCTGGGCCTGTTATTTTCCCAATTTTCCGTCACCATACGAAAGAAGGGGCAGGGCGATGCCCCAGCATCGTAACCGGTCACATTTATCAAGGCATCCACGCCCGCATCCACGGTGAAGCGGACCTCCAGATGCAGAGGTGACTGAAGAGAGTTGTGATGTGAGTCCATGGCCCAAAACATACCCCGAAAACACCATCCAAAACTACGAAAACATGAAAAAATTGGACAGGAAAAACTGGAGAAGTCTGAAATAATATGAAATTATGACCCAGCAGCACTGGTGATCGCAAATACGTTCACATTCAGGGTGGCTGCAAGGCTCGTGAAAGTCACAGCAGGGAAAGTTTCCCCGTTAAAGCAAAGGGTGCTACAAACAGTGGCGTGGGCCTGCACCAATTGTAAACAGGAAAGCGCTGGCAGCACCAATCGAGCCATTGATGACCTCAAATATCTCATATGGGCGGCCAGAGTGTGCCCCCGGGGGGGTTTGAACTGTTCGGTTCGAGTTCGAACTGCGGTTCATGCATCGAGGGGTGGCAGTTCGAGTTCGAGTTCGGGTTCGAGTGCGACTACGAGATTGGAAGGTCTTGCAACCGGACGTGGAGGGGGGGCAGTTCGAGTTTGAGTTTGAGTTCGAGTGCGACGACGAGATCGGAAGGTCTTGCAACACGATCGGGGGGGGCAGTTCGAGTTCGTGTTCGAGTTCAGGTGGAAGTCACAAGTGGAACTGCATATGTTTTTTCGCGGGGGGGGCGGGGGGCGGTTTGAGTTCGAGGTCGGGTTCGAGGTCGAACTGCGGTTCGTGCATTGTTGCCCGAGAGGGGGGGGTGCAGTTCGAGTTGGAGTTCAAGTTCGAATGGGGGGGCAGTTCGAGTTCGAGTGCGCCCTACTCCTACGCCTTTTTTTTCATATGCATCGTTTATTTGGCTTCATCTTATCTTTATTGATATCTATCGAAACTTGTGCCTATGTACTTCTTTCTTGGAACGCATTGCGGGGTGAGGCGCTGCGCCCTTGTTCGGCCCTCCCCCCTGCACCCCCCCACCCGCTTTTATTTTTAACCGGCTCCCCTTTCTACCTACTCCTACGCCTGTTTTTAAAATGCATCGTTTATTTGGCTTCATCTTATCCTTATTGATATCTATCGAAACTTGTGCCTATGTACTTCTTTCTTGGTACGCATTGCGGGGCGAGGCGCTGCGCCCTCCCCCCTGCACCCCCCCACCCGCTTTTATTTTCTAACCGGCTCCCTTTCTACCTACTCCTGCGCCTTTTTTTTCATATGCATCGATTTATTTGGGTTCATCTTATCCTTATTGATATGTATCGAAACTTGGCCTATGTACTTCTTTCTTGGAACGCATTGCGGGGGGAGGCGCTGCGCCCTTGTTCAGTCCTCCCCCCAGCACCCCCCCACCCGCTTTTATTTTTAACCGGCTCCCCGTGCTCCCTACTCCTACGCCTTTTTTTTCATATATGCATCGTTTATTTGGCTTCATCTTATCTTTATTGATATCTATCGAGACTTGTGCCTATGTACTTCTTTCTTGGTACGCATTGCGGGGGGAGCCCCCCTGCACCCCCCACCCGCTTATGTTTTTTTAACCGGCTCCCCTTGCTACCTACTCCTGTGCCGTTCTTTCATATGTATCGTTTATTTAGGTTCATCTTATCTTTATTGATATATATGTATAGGGTGAAACAGTTCGAACTCGAATAACTCGCAGATAATTTTTTTCGGGGGGGGCAGTTCGAGTTCGTATTCAGTTCGGTTTCGAGGGGGGTTACGAGGTCGAGTTCGAACTCGAATAACTCGCGGATAATTTTTTTCGGGGGGCAGTTCAAGTTCGAGTTCAGTTCGGTTTTGAGGGGGGCTGCGAGTTCTAGTTCGAACTCGAGTTTGAACTGTTTGAACTCGAGTTCGAACTGTTTTTTTTCCGGGGGGGGGGCAGTTCGAGTTCGAGTTCGAGCGGAGCTCACTATGTGGGTGGCAGTGAGCCAGAGCAATTGTTTTGGGACTGTACGAATGCAACTCAATACCCTTCACCACTCCAAGTCATGTTTGCGTCAAGGCACAATGGACTTGAACCCCTTCCAGTTTCACTTAGCATTGCCTTTTGGCCTTCAAATGCCCAAACTGGATTGTCTTGGGAAGATTTTACATCTGTAGCTCTGTTCCTCTCAATGCTCAACTACTGTGGTGGAAATGCCCTGGAAATGCCGTCCCATCTCCTTGCCTTTTTCCATCTTGTGCTGCTCGCATCCGCTCGCCTTTCCTGGGGCACTTTGGCCCTCATTTTGACAGCACGTCAGTAGCCACTTGGGCCCTCTCCATCACGTCTGCCTCAATGGGCTTCAAACAAAGCGCCATTGCGTTCAGTTGAGAGCCAAAGCGCCACAGCCAGATTCGCATCGGCCTTTTGGCACCTGGGAACACCTTTCGCAAGTGCCAATAGCGCCGCGCAGGGTCCACCAAATCAGTAGCTTTCCTGGGCTAAAGATGCGGATTTTTGGAGAAAGCACTCATAACAAGCAAGGCAAGTGAGAGAATGGCTAGGCTATGCTTTGTCCAGTGTGTCTGTGGCTTGAGAAGCCCTTAGCTTAGCATTTTAATGCATTTTAATACCTATATGACCTATATACATCAGGGTTCAGATAAGGGGGAGGAGTTGTGCAGAGGCTTTTGGTAGGTACAAAACGCAATGCATACGGTGCGCATCTACAAAATTCAGTGCTTGGTACCTTTTTTGCAGCTACAAAATACAGAACACAACCTTTTCTGACTCGGAAAATAATTCAAAATCAGCACTACAAATCCAATGCATCTGAAGTTAAAAAATAGCTGAAAATCGGAGTTGCTAACATGATTTTTCCCAATGACATTTTGTAGTTGGGTCTATGCCATCCAAAGTTCCGACCAACATAATTTCGGATAACATTTTGTAGTTGTCAATGATTGAATTTAGTTGGATCAAGTGTTGACCCCGTGCAGTTTGTTAGATGGCATTCTGTAGCTTCATGATCTGTTTGTGTCCATGTACATGTCACGCACCCTTTCCTTTTTTCATCTTTTTTCCACCTCTTCTCACTTCAACATATACAACTACAAAATGTAAATGAGGATTTGAAAGGAACCAACTACAAAATGAATGCAAATACAAAAAGGTGGTCCCAACTCCTCCTTTTTGTACAAAACGACCCCTGGCTGGCATTCTGTACTGTAGCCCAAGTCCTCAGCTAAAATTTGAAGGAGGATCGATATACAAAGAAAAAGCAATCAAGTGGGCTATAGTCTGGCTTTTGTTGCGTCTTGCTGCCAGCAACCTTTGCCAAACGTCACGCATGAGCTCTTCGGAAGTGAGAAATTATGCAAAACATGGAAGTCATGGCATATGATATCATATGCTGCTCATCTGATCAATGAAGGTACCAAAAAAAAGAAAGGATCGAATTTAGCAAGCGTCACAGTCTCCTGACCCAGCCGGATTGCAAGCGGTAGGAGCTCGCCCAAATCATTGGCCAGCTGGTTCCGCACTACAACTTCGCCAGCCTCGGCTGAGATTTTTGGCGCCGAGTTCCGAAGCAGCTCAAGATCGTCAAAGTGTAAGGATTGAAGCCCACCTATGTAAATAGCCAGGACCAACTTAAAACGAGAAGAAAAACATCCAAGATGGATCCAGTAAATAGGCCTCTGTCCTTGTTGGCAATTGGAAAATAACTTCCATCCTGGTGAGCCCCTGAAATGAATGAACAGCAACATCGTCAAGTATCACCATAGCATTCGGCAACTGATCGAACGCAGCAGTGTACCATCCCGCAGGTGGCGGCTGCGGCAAGTCGCCCCTTTCTGGGAAGGGAAGCAAAGTGGAGAACTCCGTGAAGCCCAATTCCTTGCGATTCAGAAAAAGATCATATTGAATTGAATGCTACCCGCCATCGATACTTTTTGTCGGAGCGCCGCATGCCCAGTATATTATAGTATATCCCAGTATTGTAAGGAAAATCTGACCATTTCCAGGATCATCCACAGCGCCTAGTCCCTATCCAGCTGGCCACAGTGCCAAGGTTCCAACTCATCGACGGGGGCGAAGCAACCCAACATGTACAGCCGATCCTGGAACCTCATGGCCGTCTTGCGTGTGGCAAGCACGGCACAACGCAAGGGTGGCCGCCAAGGCTCAAAGATGAGCTTCACACGCGGAAAGGCAAAGTTTTTGCAAACCTCGAATGATGGACTGGTCATTGTCTTGAAATGGGAGGAAACCGGAAAGTGCATGAAAGTGCTGCTTTACGTGTGCTTTTTGCGTTTTCATACCGTCATATACTATCGGCACAGGAGCGTTGTACAAACATTATCTGTTTCCGGTGACACAAATTCTTAGATCTTGCTTGGCAAGCTCCTGACAGTTGTGAAGGACATAAGTTAATAAGGATTGGAGATTTCACAGCCAGCCGGTGATGGAAGAGTCTCGCACGGTGGTAAAAGGTGTCAAAACCGGGGCAAAACCGGGGACCTTAACTGAGATGGTTTGCTTTGGCAAGCGAATAGCAATCCGCCAGAATTTGGCGAACAGATGGAACATGTCTCCAGAGTCTCTAGCTGCCTCCTACAAGAATTCTGGGCGGTGCTTCCACTAGATTTGAAACAAGAAAGGCCCTCCATTGCAGGTAGATGCAGGCAGTGCATCAGGGTGACACTTTAGATGTCCCAAGCCATGAGAATCGCAAGTCGTCATGAAATAAACAGACTGACTGCATCAAATTGTGAAAGTCCGGAAGGATGCCCAAACTGCTATGACTTTTGAGAGCGTTATCCTCCGCTACATTGATTGTGTTCAGAGTTGTCATTACTGTGTCCATTGTCATCCTCATTGCAATAATCTTCCTCGTCGTCCTCCTCCGCCTCATCATACTCATCATGCTCATCATCCTCATCATACTCATTACATTCATGATGTGACTACTCATCATAGTCATCATTGTCATCATAGTCATCCTCGTCCTCGTCCTCATCCTCATCATCTTGATCTTCACCTGTAAAGAGACGAAAAATCACCCAGGCAAAATGTACTCCTCCCCGAATTGATGAACTGAAAGCATGGCAATGGAACCGCCTTGGCACTGGCTTAATGACTGCATATGACTGCATTGGTGCTTAAGCGCGTCCACATCGTCGGCAAAGTAAGCCTCATAGTCCTCTGGGAAGTCCGTCTTGGCATTCCGGCCAACCGTCAGAAAAGATGGGTCGAGTCCGGAAAATGTGTGCATCACATCGCTGAAGTAGAAGTAGGTGAAAGCTTCATCCATGGAGAAATCATCCAATGAATTTGGCGCTTCCTTTGCAAAAACCACAAACGGTGCTGACTTCAGAGCTTGCATGACTCTCTGCTCTGGATCCTCCATGCTACGGCACTGGCGGCTATCTATGTCTATGCTTAAAACAACCCACAGGCTCAAAGAGACCAATGTAGCCAAATCAGTGAAGTATCCTGAAATATCCTGAACATGTGTGAAGCAAGATGCTGGTGCAGCGTTTCAAGAAGGCCCACAATTCCCCAGCATTCAGTGGCTGGCTTTTCTGATGCTGAAATGACTGCGGTCCCAACAACGTCCACCGCACCTAGCAGCTACGAAAAAGCACTGCGATGTGCGGGAGCACGAACTGTCTGTGTGTGTGTGTCTGTGATGGCTGTGCTCTGTGTGTGTGTGGATGTAATGCCATGAAATGCCATGAGTTATTTTTACATTGGAGCCTTGCACCCAGTTCTGTGCACCCTCTCCTTCGCTTAAACTACTTCCCTCAAACCACCAACCAATTGCTGGTGTACACAATCAACCTTTCATGCTCCCAACCCTGCACTGGCCGGGGTTGACCTACTTCGACTTGTTGTACGCAATCATTTGCCACGCCAACAACTTCCACAAGTAAGTTCTAAACATCGGCGGTAGATGGCGCACTACTCCACTATGTGAAAAAGTATGCAAGCTGCAAACAGCCACAGGAAGACTGACAGAGACATTCCGGGGCTACGTTCTGACGAACAAACCCCCAATGAACCATCGATTCAAGTCATGATCTGACCAGTCTAACCACTGAGCACAACAACTAAATTAAATCGCTACGTTACTCATCCTTCAGCTGCATATGGAGCTCACCATCTCCCCCTGGAACGCCCGCGTCGGCCCACTCCGCGCCAATTGAGTAAGAGACGAAAACTAGCTGATGTTGTAACAGGAGAAGGAGGAAGGTGTGGTGAAAGAGCGGTGTGTGAGGAATTGGGAGAGACGAAGTGGAGAGTAAGTCCATGATGCTGATGATACTGATGATGCTGACAGCCAATACCTTGCTAAAGCAAGAGGAACTTCATCGCTAGTGATCACATCCTTCAAGTACGGGCTGTGCGTTTTTTCACGCATGCTACAACGATTAAACATATTCATGGCACCTCGCCGTCAAGGGCTCTTGTGTGAAAACCCGGGCCGGCTCTTAGTTACTTAGTTGTAGAGTTATTTCTGTCAAGTAATCATAAGCTATCCACCAAATAAACGCTAAGCGTCTATGGCACGCGGGGCACTCTCTTTACATCAAAGTTTCAAAGCTCGTGTGATCAAGCGCTGCAGTGCTTTTGATGCATGATGGCGTGAGGTGGGAATGTCGTGCACATGACGGGGCGCGATTAAAATACTGATCCTTGGGTCCTTGAAAGCTACGATAAAACATGGTGAAGAAGTGAGGACTTGAAAGGTCCATGTCCAATCATGTCTAGCAGAGAGGTAGTGACTGAGGATTCCTGACTGGCAGGATTTCAGCCTCAGGCCTCATTGAAGTTTTCAAATGTTGTGCAGAGATGTGTCAACGTCCATCTCCAAAATTCATCTTTGCTTGCTGGCCCTTCACGAACGGAGCTGACAGTCGAGAAGGTGTGCATGACTCTTGTTGCTTGAAGATCAACCGCGCCTAGAAAATGCCTTTCTGGGAACGGCAGTGAAAAATATGTTTCCATGCATACACATGTGCATGTGTACAACAAATACATGGTAACTACATAGACACACACGCAGATAGATAGATAGATAGATAGATAGATAGATAGATAGATAGATAGATAGATAGATAGATAGATAGATAGATAGATAGATAGATAGATAGATAGATAGATAGAGATAGATAGATAGAGATAGATAGATAGAGATAGATAGATAGATATAGATAGGTAGATATAGATAAATATAGATAGATAGATATAGATAGATATAGATAGATAGAGATAGATAGATAGAGATAGATAGATAGATATAGATAGATAGATATAGATAGATATAGATAGATAGATAGAGAGAGATAGATAGATAGATAGATAGATAGATAGATAGATAGATAGATAGATAGGTAGAGAGATAGATAGATAGATAGATAGAGAGATAGAGAGATAGATATAGATAGAGAGATAGATATAGATAGATAGATAGATAGATAGGTAGAGAGATAGATAGATAGATAGATAGATAGACAGACAGATAGATATAGATAGATAGATAGATATAGATAGATATAGATAGATATAGATAGATATAGATAGATAGATAGATAGATATAGATAGATATAGATAGATATAGATAGATAGATAGAGATAGATAGATAGATAGATAGAGATAGATAGATAGAGATAGATAGATAGATATAGATAGGTAGATATAGATAGATATAGATAGATATAGATAGATATAGATAGATATAGATAGATATAGATAGATATAGATAGATATAGATAGATATAGATAGATAGATAGATATAGATTGTGAATCGGACGTTCCCTTGAATACGTCTGTTGTTTGCCGTTGGTGAACTTGTCGTTTCGTTTATCAATGATCAACCTGAGGCGTGCGGCAGCATTGCTCTTATTTTGCGGGAGCTGTGCAGTATGGGATCTTGAGCCAAAGGACCAGCGGTTTTGTGGTCCCCTGACATGCGGGTGAACGACTATATACATGGGGGAATACATATGGTGTTCTTACTGTGTCCCCATTCCCTCGTACTGCATTTGCGTTGATTGAATTATGGAGAGTCAAAAGTCCTTGCCGCGGCTTGCTATGTCTACACCTGTCTATACAAAGTAACTCAGCATCTGTACATGACATTTAAATCCACCCATTGCGGCGTTGCCGGCAAAGGGTTTCATACGTGCATGACATCAGCTACAAAACGAAAATAAACACAGAGCTAGAGAATACACTCCTGCTCTTTCCTGACAAAGAAATGAGACATAGACCGCAGTCAAAATTCAACCCACGATGCATTGCGTTTCAGATAGCATCGTATCCAAAAAAAAGGTTCGGATGTAAATCCCGTGAATTAGCCGGCTCAGGTTCCTCTCAAGAGTCATCGGACATAATGAAGAGGTTGATTTTGAGCATTGATTGCTGATCCAAATGCGCAGCAATAGGACCTATGCAGAGGTCAGATACCATTATCCCCATCCTCTGTTTCCATATTTACGTCCAGTGTAGTTCCAATTCCAGTCGCCACCTCGATGTGAGGGTGTTCCTCTACCCCTTCCGCGGTTTTCCCATTCTCTCCACGGTGGTGTCGCTTTTGGCGGCGCTTTTGGAGCTTGCTTTGGCAATGGGGCAGCTTCTCCTGCGTCTGTTGATGAAGCAGAATGTGATGGTCCTGCATCAGGAGTAGCACTGGGTTTCGGCATTGCCTTTGCCTTGGCTTCTGCGTCCCTGCGGATGTCTTCAGCTGTAGGCATATTGGCAATTGCAGCTACATGAGCTTCCGTCATATGTGCTCCCCATCTTGGTCGTTGTCCATCGCGTTTCTTGCTTCTGTTGTGATCCTCAATTGCATCGCACAACTTGTTCAGTAGTGGTCCAGGTAGTCGCTGGCCATTCTGTAGAATCAAGTGCATTACAGCAATGCGTCTGAGCTGTGGTCGGCAAGCACAAAGAATGTCGACTGGATTGAGTGTCACTGCGGCCTGGTAATCAACATTCCTGAAGAAGTAAACAGCAGTCACTTGGTATGCTCCAGCGATCACTCGTCGAATAAACGTCGATTGTGCGTCCAGTGAGGTGCGGGCAAGCGTTGATTTCCTCATTTCTTCTTCAGCAGTGTCACCTCTTGTCAACTGTTCGATGGTCTCATCGCCAAATATCATTTGTAAGTCAGAGAACTCATATCCACATTCCAGTATGTAGGTGATTAGCCTTTTGAATATGAGGGATCCATGATATGCATTGGTAAAGCCCTCTTCTCCCAGATCGTCCTTCGATTTTGGATTGCCGATCTCTTGGTAGAGCTCTTTCATCTGATCATCAGTCGGCTCAATGAGAAAACCGTCATCATCTTCCCCTAAGAATGGAACTTTGGGGTCCAGGTCCAATCGGTAGCTTGGGTTCCTTTGGAATTGCTGCCACCCACACTCGATATCACCACAGAAATTCCGTTGGAAGTGTCTGTAAATTCTGAGTATGTTGTTTCCAATCTGCAGCAATAAGATCTTGATGAGGTCGGGTTGAGCGTCGCCTAACTTTGGATCCAAATGCCACTCGTTTCATCCATGCGGGGTATGTGATGATGACATTTCTCGCTTCACCAGCATGGTACTCTCCGATGTCAATGTTGGCATCATCTGCTCCTTCCTCTTCTACTGTCTCGGCCTTTTCACGTTCTTCTGTGAGGAAGTCATCAACTTCATCCTGTTTCCTGAAGTCCCTCTTCTCCGACTTGAGCTCGTCAGCATCAGGCTTCTGACTCACGTCTTCATTGTCCTGTTGGGATTCTTCCTGCGGACTTTTCATCTCGACATCATCATCATGTTCGTCTTTCACGACCTCTTCGTCGTCGCTGGTCAGGTCGATCTTGATCTTCTCCCAGGTTTGTTTAACGTGGTCCTTGACGTCATCCTCGTGCGAACGTTGTTCGGCAGTTGGAACGCTGGCGACGGTGATTTTGACACGTTTCCTGAATCCGTGGCTGATAAGGTACCCTTTGCAGAATACACAAATCGACAATGTCGCCGGAGTCTCCCATAAACATGCTGGGCAAAGTCTGTGACCCTCTTTGTTCGGACGATGAGTAAGTGCAAGCAATGCAATGGCATCATACCAATCATTGTGTAGCGGGAAAAGTCGGCATGTGCAGCTTTCATGCGCTATTTTGATGTCGATGAGTTTGCGGAGCTCACTCAAATCTGGAGAGGACTCATCAGGTACTACATTTCCGATGAGGTTGTCAAATCGATCAATGGTTGCAATCTTCTTTGCACCCTTCACAGACAGCACAAGTTGCTCGTAACCTTTTGTGACCATCAGACGATAGAATTCCTTCTTATTCCAGTCATAATGCCATACTGCATCAAAGGCATTGAATGGGATCGTCTGCTGCACCAGGATGTG